CTGCGACCAGGCTCCCGGCTGGGGCGAACGAGCCCGACGATCGCGGGCCACGAGGCGAGTTGCTCAAGAGCGTTGCTTCGACCTGTGCACGCAAGAGAGTTTCCGCAATGAGGGCGAATTGTTTCAATATAAGCATTAATGTTCGTGAGCGTAGAAACGAAAGCTGGTACCGTTTGCGCGTTCGTATCAGCTGCCCATTTCAGGTCTTTTTCTGGAGGAGAGGCACGACACAAGATGCAAGAAAGGAATCAGAGAATGGAAGCAAGAAGAACTGGGCTTGACGGAGCCTCAAACGTGAAAGGCCAGGCGAACCTTTGGCAATCATCTGCTCGGACACGGAAATGACCTTGTCAAGGGAGTCGAACACGTCCAGGACGTCGACCGCCTGTTGAGAAGGCGTCGGTGATGCGGGTATAGGTGTGCGTGCAGGAGATTGGGCAGGGGCCGGTGTGTTTGCTGGGGAAACACGGTCAGCGCACAATTAGCCATTAAGACCATCGTTATCCCGGGCTTATGGATGAGGAGAGAAAGACGTACACTTGGACCGGGGGCGCATTGTTTCGAAGCCGAGCGAGGTCACACCCTCACCAAGAAGTGCGCGCTCGATCGCGTCCAAATCCTGCGCATACCGTGAGAACTTGATCGCCGGAGTGGTGGGCTAAGGGAGGCTTAAGGTACCTCGAGTGTATCGACGGAGACCTTCACCATCGGGCTCGCGGCCCGTCGCCCGGAGAGCGGCGCAGGTGCCACTGGAGAGGCAGAACCCGGCGAGGGCGTGGGCCTGGTGGTGCCAGGGCTGCTGAGGGCGGGCGCAGCGGGCGGGCCAGAGGACCTGTGGGTCTTACCCACGAATCGGATGGTGGCCGGCGAGATCTCCTGGAGCAGATTGGTGAATTCGGCATCGCCTTCGAACACGAACGAATCCTGCGATGCCACAATAGCACAAAGAGTTGAGCCCAACATTCTCGCACCTTACACCACCAAAGCGCAGCCACATCACAGTTCTACCGGTCGGTGAGCAGTAGGAACAGGTTTGGGTGCCGGCTGGCTACCCAATACGGGCCTGTTTAAACCGGGCAGCTGCTGTTGAGGCCTGCTGGGCGTAGTGCTCCCTGGGGCAAGGCCCAACTCTCGCTCAAGAGCTGCAATCTCGTCGGGCGAGTCTAACGCCCATCACGCAAAGGTAAGCCGGGCACGGCAACGGCAGACAAACGCAACGTTGGAGGAAGTTGCATACCGAGAGAGACCGGAGCCGCAGAGCTCTTGCTGTCCAACTTGACGGCCTTGAAGTCGGCCGAAGGAGCAGGTTTGGCCGCCTGCTTATTGACCGCGGCGAGTTGGTTGAGCTCAAACAAGGTGTCCAGCGAGCGTGCCGAGTTCATTTGAGATTCCTGGTGCGAGTAATGCAAAGTAGTTGGTGACCATCGCAGCTGGTGGCGAACATGCAGGATGTGTGCACGGTGGTTCGACGTCGTACCCTCACATTCACAGCCTTCCACACATCCTCAGAGTCCTTTTCTTTTCCTTTACTTTGCTGATGGCACGCACACACAACACACGGACAGGGAGAGTGTCAGGGGAGGCCTGGACAAGGCAATGGCAATTGAAGAAGGGCAGCAAGTACCATCTCAAGCACATCGGCAGGTGGCTTGAAAGGAGTGATGACTGCGTGCAAGGAGAAGCGTGAGGTGCCAAGGAGCAGTGCAGAAACAGAGGTGTGGCACTTATGCAAGGAGGTCTTGTGACAAGGGGCAGAGGGTACCCTTAGTACTGTCTGAGACAGGGCCGCTGCCGCCGATGTCGGTGATGAATTGATCCAAAAACTCTGTGTAGGGAGTGATTAGCTTCTTCGCTGCCCTTTGTGCAAGCCCGTTTGGGACGAGAGATTCACAAATAATCCAGATGCCCCCCAATTGACTGGCGATTCATAAACGGAAGGGGGGGGGGGGCGAACCTGCCGAGTAGTTGGCGTTTGGGCCAGTATCGAAGGAAGCCAAAAGGTCATCCAGTTCCTTTTCTATAAGCCCACCCTGCTGCATCTTGAGCTGGTGCCTGGTCTTCTCCTAATCGATCCAAACACGCGTCGCAGGCTCACCTGCAAGCTCACTTCTTTCTCCAACAGCTGGGCTTGGTTGCCTGTTGCGCTGGTTGTGTAGACAACGTGGGATGCGCGGGTTCGAAGCCAAGGGCCGCTTGTGTCCCTTGGCGAACAACAAATAAGATTGGCCAAAGTAGCATCTTCTCCTTCACTCATTCTCCCCTGCACTCAACTCATTCTTTCAAATCTTGGAGCGAGGAAGAGTTTCTCCCTCCACGGAAGACAGCTATCCTGCTCGGGTCCCCTCGATCTAGCCAAATCTTTGTAAAAGATGCAGGGCAGAACGGCAGCCCTCTTGCTCTTTGTGGCGTTCGTGTTGGCGGTGTCCTACCAACTCTCCAAGACCTACTGCCCCACCGACCTTCCGTCCTCTTCGGATGATCATCTGCCACGAACATTGCCTGAGGATTTAATGGATGAAGAGATGGTCGAGGGAGGTGGAGATGGAGCTGGAGATGACGAAGAGAATGACGGACTTTCCGACGATATTACGTTCCTGTTCGCCATCATCAACATGAACCGTAAGACCCACATGGGCATCGAGAACTACACGTTCGAGGCCGACTACCTCGAGCAGCTCAAGGGCTTCCTCACCAACTTCCGCCCGGAGAAGGTGCAGATCATCATCCAGAAGAAGTACTACGACTACGTCAAGGACCACCTCTACGACGGCGTCCACGTGCGCTTCGTCGAGGTTGAAGAGCTGCGAGCGTGGAAGTTCTACAACTCGATGGAGACCATCCGCCAGTCGGACTGGTGGATCAACCGCACGCCGTGGCTGCAGAACGTGCCGCAGGGCTACAGCGACCTCTACAATCCGATCGTGAGCCACAAGCTGCTGTGGCTGCGCGACCTCTCCGTGCTCAACCCGTTCAAGACGCGCTACTTCGTGTGGCTCGACTCGGGCGGTATCTGCACACCGCGCCTCAATCCCTTCTCCGGCATGCACCTCAACGAGTTCAAGCCCAAAGTCAAGTACGCGTTGTGTTGCGTTGCATCGATTCACTTGTTGTTGCACCGGAGACGACGATGAGCTGACCGCGGCGTGCTGGACGATGCTATGTGGCGTGTTTTGCAGGTTCTATCTGGACAAGGTTTTCATCACCCTCACCGGCTATGCGATCGGCAATGAACTGCACGGGTGCTACCGCGAAGCCATGCTCAAGCTCACACACGACGTGTCACCATGCTACATCGCGAAGGGTACGACTCTTTATAACTAGTTGTAGTTGGTGTGTGTGTGTGTGTGTGTGTGCGCGCGCGTGAGTGTGACTGATGTAACACAGGTTGGCTGATGGGAGGCCAAAGGAAGCCATTGGAGAGGGTGGCTGCACTCTACGAATACGTCATCAACAAAACTCTCGAGCTCGGTACGCAACTCTTCATTGTTGATCTGATTGCGCACTTTCTCTTGCTCACACGTATGTCGCACCTGAACATTCCCATAATCATCATCATCATCATCAGGTTGTCTGGGCACGGAGGAGACCCTCCTGACGATGTGCTACTATCGTCGTCCCGACTTGTTCCATGTTCACCACAACATCGAGCGATTGGACGGACCCTTTGATGAGGGCGGCGACGTGTGTCACATGCTGTGGCCTGGCTGGCCAGCTCAGGTTAGTGGCCACACAAACTTCCACCTTTTTACCTCTCTTCTGCCTCTGACGCGCCAGCCCCGCCACATCATCACTACAGGAGAAGACGGAGCTGTTCACAGAGAAGGCGATGCGAGAAGAGGGTACGGTGGACGACGACTAAGTGGTACCACGCGCAGAAGGGTCCAGAGGGATTATTTATGTGGCCGGGCGAAAAATAAAAGGAAAAGGGGAAAAGAAAAGAACTGAAAACTGAAAACAAGAGAAAGATTGCGACGTAATCAAAAGGCGCTGATCAAAGGGACGTCAGTAGAAGAGCAATACAGCGAGCCAGTCTGGGCAACCGTGTAAATTTGTACATTGCGACTGTATAGGTACCGCATCTCGCATCTCGCACCTGCGGAGTGACAGGATTTCTCATACGAATGTTGTCGCTTGTTTCGTGCAGGTGATGGATGTGGTGAGGGAATGCTACGTACTGGTGGGCCAATTTGGCCGGCGTGTGCTCTGTTGGGTGCATCTTATCGATGAGGCCGATCTGAAGGCGGATTCGGCAGAGGACAACTTGCCACACGTGCACGATTTCAACGATGATGGTACGTTCCTCTCTTCTCCTCTCAGCTGCATCTTCTGCTTGCTTGGCCAGCCATGATGCATGGTCGCGCGCAGAGGACGAAGAGAACGTCTGCGCCATTTGTACAGAGCCGCTGGCGGAGGGCGGAGACGTTCTACGATTGCCTTGCAACGACAAGCATGTGTTCCATCTGGCGTGCATGCGACAGGTCGCCTTCTACTACTACTTCTTCTTCTACATCTTCCTACCGTTCGTCCAGTTGTGCATGTCTCATCTCGGGTTGCGTGTGCGACATCCTGTCACCGGCACAGTGGGCGGTCGTGAACCTGTCGTGCCCTCTCGACCGCAAGCCGATCCCGCCCGAGGCTCTGGTCAAGCTGAGCCTCTTCAACAACGTCCGATTACACACGTCGATCTTCCTGGAGGAGGTACCTCTCTCTCTATCTGTTGAGGTCCATTTCGTCTACGATCCACAGCCCTGCTCACAATAGTCTTTCCCTTTCTCGCTCTCTCTCTTCTTGTCCTCTGTCTGGTGTCTATCAGATGTTGTCGGGCGCCTCGCAGTACCTGGTGTGGAACCACCTGATCAAGGATTTTCCAGTAAACCTCCTTAGCTTGGGTACGTGGCCGCATCATGCCTTCTTGGCTGCTCCCATTGGGAGCACCTTCACTACTCTTGGAACGTGCGCTCAAATCAACGCTGAATAACATGTATACGCGTCCACGGGCGTGCAGCCATAAGCAAGTGCAGCAGTACCTGGGTTGAACGAATCGACCAGAGCCTCTACACACCACTTCCTCAAGGTAGCCAAACCCCCTGTCGCTGTGCGTGTGCAGCCTGGCTCGTCCCTCACCGCCACTCTGTTGGCTGTGTGGTGCAGGGGATGGGACGCCCCTACCAGGGTGGTCTCGGATGCCCGTGCTGAAGGCGGGCCAAGTCGCCTTCCATGTCCTCTTGTGGACGGCCTACTCGTCCATTGGCTACACCTCGCTGGTCCTGCACTACTTGCGTACGTCTCTCCCTCCTCGCTCACCCATAACTCATCCGAGCCAACAAACAATCAAACAAAGTACTGACGAGTTCGAGCGCAGTGCGACAGACCTGCGAGACTCAGGGCCACAGATTGTGCACCAAAGCCATCCAGCTGGGCAACGTGGGTTACGACTACGCCGGGACAAAGCAGCTCCTGTCCAAGACCAAACTGACCCGCATCGTCAAGGTGCCTTGAACCACCATCTGGTCTACCACCCTCCTCATTGACCATTGAGGCGCTCACCCTCGCGTTTCGCCGCCTACATAGGGGGTCGGTTTTCTGTTGGGCCTGGTCATCGTGGGCCGCGAAGTGCGCCGCGGCTCGCAACAGCTGGCCACCACCCTGCTCGCCTGCGTCAACGAGACCATCCCTCTCTCCACCGTCTGATTCGTCGCCCGCCCTCCCGACTGCGTGGTTGGGTTTTTATTTAGTTATTTATTTATATATATATATATATATATATTTAAACACATATTTCTAGACAAGAAGGCCCGTTCAACGGGAGCTGAGCGAGTCGAACACCAGTGTTTGCGAGGGAGTTCTCTTCTTGGCGGTGAGGTGCCTTCTCGCTGGCCAGGTGGACAATTTGCGGACAGTCATTCCCCTGTTGTGTTGAGTGCAAACAAGAGGGAGAGAATAGATAGTGGAGAGATTTGTATTGTGACGCAGATGACTGAGTGGAGAGAGTGCTGGGCGATGTAAACAGCTAGAGAGAGAAGAGATACGAACAATGAAACCAGTGAATTTTCGCCGTGATAAAGTTTGGACGAGCGTTGCGGTTGGGCAGTTGGACCGAACTCAGGGTCAACCGATCGAAAAGTCATCCCATGTTGACAAGGCAGCCGCGCGAGCTCGCCCGCGAACGCCCCGCAGGGCCTCAGTTTAAAAGGGACACCCGGTGGAGGTTCATCACTTACCAACAAACTACTCACTACTCAAAACCACTACCCTACAACCTCCACCCTCCTCTCCAACAATGGCCACCCTCGTAGACATCCTGCTGTGCATCCTAGCCATCATCCTGCCTCCCGTGCCGGTCCTCATCAAGCGCGGCTGTGGCATCAACCTCCTCATTAATCTGCTTCTCTGCATATTCGGACTCTGGATCGGAGGTACACACATGCACCACATACCCATCACACACTACATCTTTCTTGCTTTCTTTGTGTCGCCAGTCGCATTCGCTCTTTCTCCTCGCGCTCACCTTCGTTCTTTTCTGTCGCCCCACCAGGTATCATTCACGCCATCTACATCATTTGCGTGACGCCCGGCGAAGCCGTCTAGAGCTCTGACTCGACGTCCAAACCAACCGCGTCCACGGCGCTACACAACCGCAGATGCGCGCTGTGCCGCCATCTAAACAGCTCTTTTCTAGACCAATAAAGACAAAAAAATCAACTCATCTCCATTTATTGTTATTGGTGGTGGTGGTGGTGGTACAGTGGGTCTGGCTGGGGTGCGCTAGACCTTCTTGGCGTTGGTGGCGCCCTGGCGTACGATGCTCAGCCACGCCTGCTTCTCCTGCTCCGAGCTGCACACGAGCGTCCACGCCTGGATGGATTCATGTGTGCGGTGTGCGTCGTGTGTCGTGTGTGTTCGATCAGAAACAACAAAGCACGATCGGGAAAAGAGGCTCTACGTACCACGTGCTCGGTCTCGACGTGGAAGGCGAACTGGATGTGCATCAGCTTGCTTTGCATCGCCTCCGCGTTGTCGTTGTCCACCGCCACGCCGTCCCCGAGTCGCACGACCTGAGCGACGCGACACGAGAGCGAAAGTTAGGCCGTGTGGGTTGAGGACAAGTGAGTCGGTGAGTGAGAAGAGATAAAGGAGGGGGGGGGGCGCACCTCGCTCAGGCGCACGCTGCCGGCATAGCGGAACGATTTACCGCCCTCGGGGTCCGCGTTTCCCTTGCCCTTCCCGCCTACAGTCCAGGGTCAGTCAGCTGCGAGCGTGTCAACGTCCAAACACGCGCAGCTTCGCACGTGTGTGTGGTGCGCCATACACAACACACGACTGTCGCGTACCCTTGGACGCTTTCTCCGGCTCGCGCTTGCCGCAGCAGACGATCAGGTCATTGAAGGCGAAGAAGTAGTATTGTTTCTGAATCGGAGGAGTTGGTTTAGTTTAGTCTAGTTTCCCTCTTGAGTCCGACACTCAGGCGAGACGGTACCTGGAAGGAGCGCATGCTGTCTTTCCGCCGAGCGCCGCGATGGGTTATCCGCAGATTGAGAAGTCCCTGCACCACACCATCGCCAGATCAGCCCCGAAGACCTCACGACACGCACGACACGCACACAACACGCACACGACACATGAGTCGGAAATCGTACCTCGCGGACCAGCGTACGCTGCGGGTGGTAGAGGCCGTCCGACTGCACGACCACCACACGGTTTGCACATAGTCAGCATTCCACGCCACTATGTAAAGAACGTGCGAGTGTGTTTCGGACGAACCAGATGCTCGAGCAGTCCCTCGATGTCGTCTTCGATCGAAATGATCTTCTGGACCCGCACGTGGGCCTCCTCGTCGATGCCCCGGTTCAGCTCGTCCAGCACGGCCTTCACCTTGGCGTGGGCGCGCTCGAGGTAGGCGTAGTCCGGGTGGGTCTGGTTCGAGTACTTCAGGAGCTCCTTGAGAAGCAACACATACCTGCGCGTGTGCGGTGAGTGAGTGCGTTAAGTGCGGTGCGTGCGGTGAGTGCGTGTGCGATTGAATAGAGCACGTGAGAAAAACGAACCTGGGCAGCCTCTGTACGGGCATGATCAGGAAGGCGTCGAGCGTGAGCGACGTCGTCTTGAGCTGCTCCAACTCGAAGGCCTCCTTGATCTGCTTGAAGGCCGGCCGCTTCTCCACGAGATGGCGCATCGTGACCAGCGCCGTGTTGTACTTGTTCAGATAGCCTCCGTACTCTTTGATGAAGTCGGTCTGCACAGAGCGGTGCGTGTGAGTGCGGTGTGTGCGGTGAGTGTGTGCGTGTGCGGTGTTGTGTCAGGAATGTGAGGAATGCAGGGACGTACGTTGAAGAGGAAGACGTCGCCGATGGTCGAGCGCGGGCTCCACGAGGAGACGCGCTCCTTGACGAGGTCCAGGAAGCGCAGGTGGTGGGTCAACAGGCCGGCGATGTTCATGAACACCACCTCCGTCTCCTCGTCGCTCAGCACCTTTGCCGACGCCCTTCGCAGCGGAGTAAGCACTTGCTGTTGTGTTTTGAGAGTTAGCTTACGCACACGCCGCACACGCACATGACACACGACACACATCGCACACGACACACACGGTACCTTGACCACGATCTCCAGGGAGCGCACATACGAGGCTTCGGTGGAGAGGATTTCGTCGACGACCCTCTTGCGCACCACGATGCGCGCCTTCTCCCGCTTGAGCTCTGCGCACACGACCGCACCCGCACACGCACACGCACAATAAAAATAAAAATGATCATGTGTTAGCCCGAACCGGCCGCGATGATGCTGAGACGTCGGCGCTAAAAGGGAGGACGAAAAGGTGTACCGGCTGCGGCTTGGGCCGCCCGGCGGAGGGTTCCGGTGGCGGGCACGGCCGAGCCGGGACCCACGGGCCGCCCCGTTGCCGACACGGCCGTGCCGAGGTCGATCGACGGAACCGCCGCGGTCCGTGTGGCTTGCGGCTGAGGCTGAGTCTGCTGTGCGGGCTGGCCCCACTGACCGCGCGGGCTAAGCGGCGCGACAGCGGCAGCGGCGGCGGGCTTGGGCTGCTGCTGCAGTTGCGAAGCGGAGGTAAATTAAACTGCTGCGCCAAAAGAACGAAGAAGAATGAAGGACGTACCGCGACCTGAGCAGGAGCAGATGCTGCCGGCGCGACCGAAGGACCAGCGGTGGCGGGCTGACACTGAGTCGAGGCGGGCTGTGACGCGGCGGCCGCATGTGTCTCCTCGGCGAGAATGGCGCCCTTGGCCCTTCCGATTGACGCCTTCTTCGTTCCCTTCTGCAAATTGGAGGGCGTCAGAGGCCACTGCTTTGTGGCTTCAGGCGGTGGATCGTGCGCCGTACCGAGATGGAGCTGCCCTTGGTGGCCTTCGCCGGCGCCGGCGCCACAATCTCCGCCGCTCCAGCACCACCCAGCGAAAGGGCTTCACGTGTGCGTGCGTGTGTGCGTGTGTGGTCGTGTGCGTGTGCGGTTGTGCGGTTAAGACAAAGCAGCACAGGAGAGAATGTGTGGGGTGGGGGTGCGAACCTTTGCGGTGCTTGCCCTTCTTGGCCTTGACGGTGTCGGCCTCTTGCTTCTTCTTCTCCTCCTTCCGCTTCTTGCGCTCCTCCTTCTTGCGCTCCTTCTCCTCCCGCTTCCGCTCCTTCTCCTCGCGTCGCTTCTCCTTCTCCTCCTCCTTCCGCTTGAACGTCTCCTGCTTCTTCAGGTCGCGGTCGGACATGCTCTTCTCCCGCAGCCGCTCCAGCTTCTTCTCCTTCTTCTCCCGGTGCGACCGCGTACGCGGCTGCCGCTTGGGCGACGCCTCGATGCCGCCATCGACCGCCGCAGCCGCAGGGGCCTCGACGGGCGTGGTCAGGGCCATCACGCGGGGCGACAGCGGCCGCTGCTGGGCCGCGGCCTGCGCTGCCACGCCATCAGCGGGCTTGGCGTGCTGCAGTGGCTGGGCCTGCGGCTGCGGCTTGATCTCGTGGACGGCGTCGACAGGCGCCGTGTGGTGCTTTTGCGCGGGCGCGGCGCCCGGGGCGAGCCGCGGCGACAGCGGTGCGCGGGCGGCGGTCGTAGGCCCGGCCTGACGCGGTGACAAAATCGGCTGCGCGTCGGCGGCGGCGGTCCGGTGGGGCGAGGCGGGCGGGGTGGTGCCCACGCGAGGCGAGCCCGCCGGCGGCTGCTGCTGGGGCTTGGCGGCGGTGGGGCGTGGACTGAGGTCCAGCGCGCCCGGCAGGCGGCGGGGCGACGTCGCCGCCTCGCTCGGCCGTCCGATGAAGCCCGCCGCCGGCTGGCGCGGCGACGCCTTGTGCTCGGGTGTGGCCGGCTGGGTTGCGCTGGGCGTGGTCGGCGGGGTCGATGTCGACGATGAAGACGAGGACGATGAGGCGGCGGCGGCGTGGATGGGGGGCGCGGGTGGCTCGGGGAGCCAGGTGGGGGTGATGGACCACTGGAGGGTGTCGGACTCGATTGAGTCCATCTCGTCGTCGTCGATGTCCTCGCCCATCACCTTGTTGAACAGGAACTCGAGGTCGAACTTGTCGCGCAGGTAGTTCATCAACACCATCACATTCTTCACATTCCCGTTCACAATGTCTGCACCAATGTCGTGTGTATCGTGTGTGCCGTGTCGGTTTCATTCGAGAGCGAACGAACGATGGTGTCAGCGCAGAAGGCAGCGTACCTCGCGCAGTGCACCCGGGTACGAGCTCGAATGTGTGTCCGGCGAGCACGCGCAGGGCGACGGTGACGTTGTTGATGTACTGCCAAAGATACTTCGGCTCGGAGACATACACGACGTCCTGCCCCAGCAACACCTACACTCACCCGACACCACATCGACCGTCAGCTGCGCCCCAAAACTCAACAACATACGACACACACGACACACGACACACACGACACGCATGATACACGCACCTCAAGCAGTCGATTGAGAACGACGCCGGACTTGAGATTGGTGGTGAGGTTCTTGATGGGCTTCCAGCTCCTCTTGGCGAGCTGGTCGTTGATCCAGTCGATCCACTCCTGCTGCTCGGGCGGGATCGGCTTGTTCTCCTCCGCTGCCCAATGACCGATCCGTCAGTCACCACCGACAACACGCACGACACGCACGCATGCGACACACCTTTGTCGAGGTCGGCCTCGTTGATTTCGTTCATGTTGAGGGACTCGGCCCAGAGGTTCTTGGCGTGCTTGCTGTCCTCGATCACCGGCCCGCGCCACGTGTCCAGCTTCTTGACAGTATTGCCCAGCACCACGATGTGGCTCAACACCTGCGAGGCGCGTGTGCGCGCAACACGATTGCAATCGAGTCAGCGACCACAGTGATTGTTGTCATCGTCATCGTCATCGTCATCGTCATCGTCATCGTCATCGTCATCGTCACCGACAGAGAGGCGCAGTGCGAGAAGGGGTTGGGCGTACGATTGACATCTTCTTGGCCTCGAAGAGGTCGGTGGTGTCGAAGAGGTCGCTGTTGCGCAGCCCAAACGCGGCGCACGCCTTGAGGTAGTGCTCAATGTTTTCCTGGACAACCCCACGCGCACAGCCGAAAAAAACCACGTGTCAGCATCGTCGGCAGCGGCCAACGACCAAGAACGCGCTTCACGCCGTAGAACGTACCATCTGCAGATAGGCGATGTTGGCCGTGTTGATCTTGGACACACTGCCAGGCTTGATGGCGTTGATTAATCTGCGGCAGTCGTCGATAACATTCACATGTCGGAGTTAAAAAACACAACCCCCAGAACAGCGACAATCTCGTGGGTGGTCTCTGGCGCAAGAGAGACGGTCAGTACCGGCAGAGAATCACTCCGGACTTGAGCGCGTTGGCGAAGGTGACCCCGGCGGGGAACTTGTCTTTGAGCACCGCCTCGATCCACCGTTGGGCGATTCCCTGGGAACACCACCCCGACACACCGGTCAGCACCCTCGAGATATAGAGACCTAGGGACCTGGTGCTCTGGAGTCTCGAACAGAGTCGGCCTTACCTCGACCTCGAGCGAGTACTTGAACTCCTCCTTGGTCACAACATCGTCGTGGAGCGAAGACACCTCGATCACCGCTGCTCGACCTGCCCACAACGTCGTCAGTCAGTCAGTGATGATGATGACGACGACGACGACGACGAACGGTGACAAAGGAGTGCGGTAGTACTTGTGGAGGGGCTGCCCAGGGACGCGCTGGAGGAGGAGGAGTCGTTGGATTTGAGCGAGTACGTCGGGGTTCGGCTGTAGGCCGAACCCGACCGCTTGTGCGTCGGACCGGCTTGCGCGGGGCTCGTCGCCGTCGTCGCTGCAGGCGAACCCACCGGAGTCTCTTCCTCTGTGTAGCACCGTTTGCATGCGGTGGTGTGCGCGATGATGCGTGTGCATGTGCGCGTGCGTGTGCGGTGGTGCGTGTGCGTGTGCGGTGGTGCGTGTGCGTGTGCGGTTAGCGGTTTCCTGTGACTTGCTCGAACTCAGAGAGAGGGCAGCTGCGCACTGAGCGCGGGCGAGTTGGGGGCCGAGGCCGCGGCGTTGCGTTGGACCGTGGGGCGGGAGAGGACGCTAGACTTGCTGCGCCCCTTCGATGATGTCGAGCCCCAGCTCGAACCCGAGCCGCCGCTCGCCAGCGGCGCCTGCTCCTTGGCCTCGCTCACCAATTTGCTGACAGAGATTGCAACAAATTTTCTCAGCCCACACACGCGCAGGGCCGGAGCGAGAGCGGGAGCGAACTGGAGAGAACTGTCGTACCTCACGGCGGCAGAGTCGTACTTTTCGCTAAACTTTCGGAGTACGTTCACGTTTTGGAGGACCTGCGTGCGACAGTGTCGCGCCCGCCAGTGAGTACTGAGATGCGACGCGACGCGAAGAATGGAAAGAGGGAATTAATGGGGGGGCGGTGACATCACGCACCCGCATCATGTCCTTGTCTTCGTAGAGGTCGGTGGTGTCGAACAGCTCACCCGGCTGGAACCCCAACATTTGGCACGCCGCCAGGTAATGTGTGATGTTTTCCTGTTCGCATTGATTTGAGAGCCACACCACCAGTTAGGTCTCGAGAGTGCTCCGGACTCTTGCATCACACGACACACGCACACGCACGACACGCACGACACGCCGAGAATGAGGCCGTTTACCATTTGTTTGAACGCCAGCCCGGAGGCGTTGATGCGTGTCACGAGCCCTGCGTGCATCTTGTTGGCCAGTCTACAGAAAGAGAGAGAAGAGACGAAGACGACGAAGACAACGACGACGACCAGTCGCAGTGTCTCGAGTCAGCCAGATTGCGACGCAAAAGGCAGCCTTTTGGTGGAGATGGGGAGCCAGCGAGCAAGCGAGTACCGGCACAGGACCGATCCGTCCTTGAGGAGCTGCTGGAGCGGCTTCGAGACGTCTGCGAGCCCCGGCTCCTGTGGGGCGGTGCGTCGTGCGGTGGCCACCACCGCCGGCGGGACGAGTAAGTTCGTGCGGGCCACGTGGGAAGAGCGAAGATGAGGAAAGAAAGAAAGGAAAAGAAAAGAAGGAAGGAAGGAAGTGCGGCGGAGAGCGCACCCCGAGGACGGAGGCCATCCACTTGCGGAGCTCGGCCTCGAGTGCCGCGTCGTACTTGAGCCGCTTCTGCTCCTCGAGGGTCGCATTGAGGGACGCCACCGACATGCCGTGCGCGCGCGTGTAGTGCTTCCGGCCTTTTCCCGGCCTTTCCCTTCCTTCGTCACTCCCTTCGCGTGGTTCGGGGGGGGGGGGGCGAATGGCGAAATGAGTTTAGGTCGGGGGGGGGTAACGAAAAAGAACGAAAGCGAAGGAACCGCCACCCCCCCCCACATAAACAAGAAGGGGAGAGATTGGAGAGAATCGAAAAAAACGGGGGAGCGGGAGGAGAAGGGCGGGAGGCAAGAGCCCTTAGCCGTCGAGACCCCTTACCTCAGCAGATAAGCGGCAAGCCGTGGAGTAAAGTAATCTCTAACGGTGTTCGTTCGCACAGGTCGCCGTTGCTGTTGTTCTCTTCGCCCACTTTGTTGCTGTTGTCCTCATGAATGAAGGGCTCCCAATTCTGGATTTATCCACCTTTCTGTCCTATTAGCTCCGATTCTTCCGCTTTCTGGTGCGCCCAGTGAGTGAGAGTGCAAAGGGGTGCCTGGTGAAGTCCACAGACAGAGCAGGCAACCAAGGGCTGATGCTAAGGTCTGCAATGATATATCTCACTTTTTTCTTGCAAGAACAGGTTTGCAACAATTGGTTGTGTCAACATGCCCCACTGGGTGAATGTGCAACACACGCCGTGGAATGCTGATGTTTGGCCCAACAAAGGTAATGTCGCCGCTTCTTCATGCTGCTGGAATTGTGGAGCACAACTTCAATGCCGGAGATGGTTGTGGGTGACGTCAGCCCGACGTGCCGTGCGGTGGTTGGTGCCGTCGGCACCCGCTGAAGTCATACAAAAGGCGCCCTAACCTGAGCTATCGGCATTTCCCTTCACCAGCATTCACTCCCCCCGAGAGCGAAGCAGCAGAAGATGAAGTGGACGACGTGCGTCGTGGTGGCACTTGCCCTGGCGGTGGTGGCCATGCTGGCCTCGACCGCACACGCCTACCCGTCCAACGTAACCGGCATCATTCGTGACTACGGCTACGTACGCCCACCTCTTCGCCTCTTAACCACCTCCTTCATCTTTTCCTTCTTTGGCCATCTTCTTTTAACCTTTGCATAAGAGGCTGCAGCTTGCATCAATGCTTTTTCTTCAATTACTTGCTGGTGATTTGTTTTGATTTTCATTGTTTTGCAGAGATGCGACGACTACTGGGCCGAGACCGAGGACGGCTACCTGCTCTCCCTGCAGCGCATCTACCACCGCACCCCCGTACTCCCCCCCCCCACACTTCCCCTCTTTCTCTTCCTCTACTCCCATCCACCGCTATCGCCCTCCCACCGTGGCCCCGGTGGGACTGCATTCCTTTCATTCCAAGCTTCGGTGGCCCGACAGTCGTCACTATTTGTTTTGTTTGTTGGTGTGCAACGTTGTGTGGAACATGTCCTTGGGTTGGACCAATGAAGCGTGAATGACGTCTGACACACCGCAACGTTGTGTTGTCGTCGCCGTGCAGGGAGCGCGGAGGGGCGTGGTGCTGGTGCAGCACGGCCTCACCGACAACGCCAACGGCTTCGTACTCAACCCGCCTGACGAGTCCCTCCCCTTCATCCTCGCCGACAAGGGTACTACTCCATCCCTTCGTCGCCGCGCGTGTCGCATGTGTAGTGTGCGTGTGCGTGTGCGTGTCGTGTGTCGTGTCGTGTGCGCTGACACTCGCGTGTTCTCAGGCTACGAGGTGTGGCTGGGCAACAACCGAGGCAACGGGTACAGCATGCGCCACAAGGTCCTCAACCCGTCTGAGCCCGCCTTCTGGCAGTTCACCTACGACGAGATGGCGCAGTACGATCTGCCGGCCAACATCAACTTTGTGCTCGCCACCAGCGGCGCCGCCACGCTCGCCTACGTAGGCCACTCCGAGGGCACCATCCAGGCCTTCGCCGGCTTCTCGGCCAACAACTCGATCGCCGATCGCGTTGACGTGTTCGTCGCCCTCGCTCCCGTACGTCCCTTTGCGTCGCCATGCGCGGTGTGTGCAGTGTGTGTGCGCGGTGTGTGCGGTATGTGCGGTCTAATGATGATTGTGGGCGGCGTGGTGGTGGCGTTCAGGTGGCGTACGTGGGCCACCTGAAGGTGCTGCTGCTCAATGCGCTCTCCCACCTGGACCCGATCGAGATCCTGCTGCTGCTGGGCGTCAATGAGTTCAACCTTCCCACCGCCCTGCTCAAGCTCATCCCCGAGTACCACCCACACCACCCTCCTTTTTCTTTTCTTTCGCTGATGTTCTTCGCTCTTCGTTCTTCCGTTCTTCCTTCGTTCTTTTGTACAGTGTGTGCACGCTCTACCCGCCCATCTGCAACAACGTGCTCACCGCGCTCATGGGTCCTTCCGTCGAGACCAACCAGTCTCGGTTCGCCCTCCCTCTATGCACACAACACGACACACGGTATTTACGCAATGCGACCGTGCAGGCTGGCGTACTACCTCCGCTACGAGCCCAACCCCACTTCGGTGCTCAACATGATCCATTGGTACCAGTGCCCTCTGCACGTGTGTCGTGTGCGTGTGCGTGACTGATCTGTGTGGCCCCTTGTGCGCTGTGTCGACAACAGGTCGCAGGGAGCGGACACGGACGCCTTCCAGCGGTACGACTGGGGCGAGGCGGGCAACATGAAGCGCTACGGCCAGCGCACGCCGCCGCCGTACCTGCTCTCGCAGATGCCGCCCAAGCTGCCCGTCGCCCTCTTCACCGGCGGCAACGACTACCTCGCCGATCCCATCGACGTCGCGCGCCTCAAGAAGGAGCTCAGTACGTCTTCGACCGCTTTCTTGTGTGCTTGTGCGTGTGCGTGTGCGTGTGCGGTGGTGCGTGTGCGAGCGTTGTTGCGTGTGCGCTGTTGCGTGCGCATCGACTGATGTCGAATGCACGCACACACAGGGCCTCCGGCGGTGTTCGAGCACTTCGAGCCGACCTACTCGCACGTCGATTTCCTGTGGGCCGAGGACGCCAACGTGGACATCTACCCGCACGTGCTCAGACTCATCCAGCAGTACCACCACTGAGCGTTCGCCCCGTGATTGATTCCCCACCAAACCCACGCCACGCAGCACATATGCGCCCCCCGACTCTTCCCTTTTCGTTCTCTCTCTTCATTCTTTGTTATCGCTTCTCTCTTTCCTGTGCCACTCGCACAAGTGTACAAGTAAATAATGATTTATTACTCTCTCTCTCTCTTTCACACCAACGTTGTGTGAGTTGTTATAAGGTCGTGTCTTCTTCTTTCTTCTTTCTTCTTTCTTCTTCTTCAGTTTCGGGTGCTCTCCATCTTCTTCTTGCCGCCGAACATGCCGAGGGGCAAGAAGCTGCCCGTCTTCTTCTTGTTGTCATCGATCGCCGACCCGCCCACGGCAGCGCTCCCCGAGGCCGGTGCTTGGGCGGTCGACGTGGGGAGGCCGGAGACGGTGGCCGCTCGGCCAGTCCGGGCGAGAGGCGGCGACGTCGGGCTCGCCGAGTGCGACGGCGTCGCGGCAGCGCCGCGCGAGTGCGCAACGCCGTGCGCCATTGACGCGGAGTGGACCGGTCGAGGCGGCGGACGCGCGGGTTGCTGCGCCGTTCGACTCGCCGCGGCGCCGGGCGTCGATAGCGCGGGCGAGGAGCCCCCGCCACCGCCGCCTTCCCATCGTCGCACCATCGAGCCCACCGACGCCGATCCATTGTCCCCCGCCGCCGTGCGCTGCTGCAGCGAGCCCGGCGCCGACTGGGGCGACGTGACCGTCGTTGCCGCCGGTGATGACGTGGCGGCGGCGGTCGTCGTCGTGGCCGTCTTGTCCTTCTTGTCTTCCTTTTCCTTGGTCTTCAGTTTGGTCTTTCGCTTTTCCTTCTTTTCCTTCTTCGCTTTCTCTTTCTCTTGTTTCTTGCCGCTGTCGGCCTCGCCTGCGATCGCGGCCGCGTCGGCGGGCTTGGCTCGCTTGGGCGAGGTCAGCAGTGGCTTCTCGCCGCCCTTCTCGCCCTTTTCGTAGATGGCCACCACCGCCGGCGGCAGAACCAGGTTCGGGCACACCTGTGCACATTTTACGTATAAACCACAATAGCCCCTGCATCAGCGCATGCGCGTGTGCGGTCGCGCGTTAGTGTGTGTGCGGTCGCATGTGTTACCTGGTCCTTCATCTCGAAGAGGCGTCGGGTGACCTCGTCGAACGATGGTCGCTTGCTCGGATCTGTGCGGAGCGCGGGGAGTCAGCGGTCAAGCTCGCATAGCCAGCAAACGCGACAAAGGCTGTGGCTGAGTGCGAGAGAGAGAGAGAGAGATGGTGGGTATTGTGTACCGCCGTGCCAACAGTCCTGCATGAGCCGGGAATAGGCCGGCGGGCACGAATGCGGCACCGGCGGCCGATAGCCATCGATGATCATCTGATCCCCGCCAACCCCCAACATGAGAACAACACACGGCACACACGACACACACACGAAGCAAGCCAATACCTGTGGAAGACGAAGAACGGATCGCACTTCGGTGTAGGGCGCGGATTGGGCGTAGAACTCCCTGGGCACGAACACACACGCGACACACACGACACACACGACACACACACGACACACACACACAAGTGAGACGCCCGCCCGAGGGAACAAACGAGTGAACAGAGCAGCAGGAGGAGGAGGAGTACCAGAGGATGATGCCGAAGCTGTAGACGTCGACCGGAAACGAGTACGTGTTGGATCCCTCGAGCACCTCGGGCGCCATCCTGTCGCGATTGGCCCACCATTATATAAATTTTAATAATTCGTCCAATCGCCTGCGAGGCTTTTGATGAGGAGAGAAGGGAGAGGGAGGGGGTTTACCATTTGGTGGTGCCGCGGCCGATGGTCATGAGGGCGTCGTTGCCTTCGGAGAATCGGGAGATCCCCAAATCGGAAATCTTGACCACTGTCTCAGCGTCCACCTGCAGCGAATTAACCTGTGTGCGGCCGACACACGACACACAGCGCACGACACGCGCTTGTGAGTGCCGATGCGGGTGGGAGATGGAGGCGGCGTGTGGTTGAGAAGGCAATTACGAGCAGGTTCTCCGTCTTGAGGTCACGGTGCATCACTTTCTGGCTGTGCAGGAATCGCATCCCCAGTGCCGTATCAAGGGCCATTCGGAACCTGGCACACGACACGACACACAACACACAACACAGGCGACACACAACACACGATCACACGACACGCATGACACGACACGCGAAGGTTGGTCGAATGAAGGATGGTGAGTGGTGGAAGGAGCGGGGAGGGAGGAGGGGCAAACCGAAGGGGCCAGGACAGGTCGGTGGTCTTGGTGCGGAGGAGATCGGAGGCGGCGCCGTGGGCGACCAACTCCATCACCAGGTACAGGTTGGGCGGCTCCGCGCAGCCGCCGTAGAGGCACACCAGATTGGGATGCTTCATCGTTCTTCATTCACCGCACGCACGCACCACACACGCACCACACACACGCACCGCACACGCACGAATGGCCATTGGGTGAGTCCTCAGGAAAAAGCGTGGCATTGATTTGTTTTTGTGGGGCAGCACGCACCGGGTAAGTTGCAGTTCTCTTCGGAAGTCGGCCAAGTCTTCGGGCACCACCTCGGGCACCATCATCTGCTCCCACGCCCCCGTCAGCCACAACACACTTTCATATTGATAATTAAATTATTATAAATAATTTATCCATTTTAATACAAAAAAGAAATGAAAAAATGAAAGATGAAAGTAACGAAAGCGAAGACGAAGGGGGCGAGGGTGACTGACCTGCTTGAGGGCGACGGGGATGTTTTTGGGGGTCCAGTGCGCCTGGAACACTTGGCACATGGCACCGTGTCCCAGCAGGTCCTGCTTCACCAGCTCCCCCAGCGGGACAATGTCTGCCGTGGGTTCCGCGCGCGTTAGCGTGTCCAGTCGCTGCCACCATCCATCCATCATCTTTTGATTCCTTTTTTTCCTCTCCTTCCCTTGGGTAGGAGGCGTACCTTCGCCCTTGGACTCAGTGAGGCCCATCTTTAGGTGTGGTGTGTGGATGTATGGATTGATTGATTTTTGTAGTTATGGGTCCTGCGCGCTCGCTCCCCACCTGGCACTCACACTCTTTGCACTTGCGCTTTAGTTCAGGTGGGTTGGCGGTGTTGCGTTTGTAGTTCAAGTGCGTGTGTCCGCGGCGGCCTTCTTTCCTGCTGCGTGTTTGTCTCCGCCGAAGTTTGCCGCACCTGGGCACCACCATTGGGCTGCGATCTCAATCACCACTGCCTGGCTCGACGCCTGGAGATGGTGATGGCGTCGAGCTGTAACTTCTTCTTCTTCTTCTTCGACCTCTTCGCTCCACTCCACCCAACGCTGAGTTCAGCCTCCCAATGTCGATGATGGGGACAGTGGGAGGGTGGACGGAGGAGCGGAGAAAAGACATGTCCCACAATTGGGGTGGGAGAGGAGGAGGCACAAGAAGGCGGGGCTGGGGCCAGAGACGGTACATGTCTAACTCTCGTCAGTAACGGTCAGGAGCAGGTAGCGCCACCGGTGCGATTACTCAAACGCTTCATAACCCTGGCGAGACAGAGCGCCGTACCGGAGGGCACTCTCGAGTCGACTTGAGTCCCCCATGGGGCTGAAGTTTACGAGGGTGCTCAAATCACTCAACCAAACCAAACAAAAGAAACAGGAGAAGAAGATCACGATCGTGACGACTTACCACACAACGTGGAAGGTTGAGGAACAGGGGATTTGGCGTACGTTTCTCTTGCCGTCCTTGGAGCAAGTCTTGATAGGCGGTGGAGAGAAAGAGCGCTGGGTAGGCGATTGCGCGAGAAAGAGGGCAAGAATAAAGATGAAAAGAGAGGATGTATGAATGGAGGAAAGAGATTGCAGGCAGGCTGAGGCTGCGATTTACACAAAGTAGGACATGGTGGTGCGAGCGGGCACCATGCGCTCGTTATCGGGGACGGCGTTGAAAATCTTGAAGTCGCGGTTGAGATTTTCGTCGAGCTCGAGGATGGAGGCGACGTTTCCGCACCGGTAGCAGTAGTTGGGGGCAGACCACACGGTGACGAGGTTCTTCTTCGGGAACATGTACTTGTAGCCCTCCTGCACGAGCTGGTGAGCTCGGCAAATGAGCTCCAGGCCGTTGACTCGCGTGAACTGCAAGGTTGTTAGAACGAAGATTAGTACGAGTTCGGCAACGGCCTCGCCAACCATAACACGCAAGGATTGATCGCAACGTACCTCCTCTGTGACCTTGGAGCCGAAGAGCCAACCGGCTCCTCGCGGGCTGATCTGCCAAGTCTCAATTTCCTCGGGATCCGACCACATCAAATCGCAGAAGGCGCCCTCATGAGGAATCTCCTGGTTTCTGGGGATGGTTCGGATCTGATCGATGGTGCGGATGTCTGGATGACCAATCCGAATGATTGGTGAGCGGCAATTCGAGTTGGATATTTGGCATGATGAAAGATTGTGGGGATCTTCGTACCAGGCGAGAGGCCTCCGTGGACACAGAGAACCTTGCCGTCAACGAGCTGTTTATGCGGAAGGAATTAGGTCAGGATCAGAAATGAGAAAGGATTGACAGAGAACTGAGAACAAGAGAAAGAGATGTTTCAGAAAGACTAATCGAAGCTCCATCGTTGATTATGCGCAATTGGCATAGTCAGCATATAATTCTATCATCATTGGGTTGGGTATCGTGAAGAAAGGAGAAGATTCTCGATAGGAGAAGGCAGGAAGGAAAGCTTGATGACAAGGAACAAGGAGGCGAAACGTACAGCGGCGAGGGTGAGGTAGTCGAAGACTTGTGTGCAATATTTCCAGGCGTTGGCGTTGCCGTACTTCTGCTGGCACTCATCGTAGAAGCCGTACACTTGGGTGATCTGCCTGCTTTCGTGGTTGCCCCTGAGCAGCGTGATCTTGTCGGGCCACCTGTGAAAGAGGGCATCAGTTAGCTTCGGGAGGACATAAGCAACAATGGGGGACGACATTGTAACATTACCTCGCCTTCAGGGCAAGCAGGAGGGTGAACGTCTCGAGACTGTAGTAGCCACGATCGACGAAGTCACCCTACAAACGGCGTGAAGAAATTTCTATCCATTAGACGGCATGCGCCGAGGATATAGAAAAGAGGAGGGGACGTACCATGAAAATGTAGTTGGTCTGGGGGATCTCACCACCAATCCTGAAGAGCTCCAGCAAGTCGTAGAACTGACCGTGGATGTCACCGCAGATGGTGACGGGAGCCGCAACAGGCTGGACGTTGGACTCCTCGAGAAGGAGCTCCTTCACCTTTTGAGTGGAACAGCCAGATAGAAGAGGAATTAGGATCGTTCTCCACCTCCAGCTCGCTTCTCTCCATCTCTTTTTTGAGCTCCATGTCACCCCATCCATTCACGCCACTCGACACCACGCATCATCAATCAAAATGGTGGTTTTACCATCTCGCACAGCTCCTTGAGGTCCTGCTCAGGCAGGTACTTGCACTGCTTGAGGATCTCAACCCACTCTTCAGGATTTCCCATGTTGAATTTTGCGACTTGATGCGGTGATGATGATGGGAGAAAGGAAGGAAACCGCCTGGACACCGCCCACCACCGTTTGCCGCCATTTGCCCCTCGGCAACAACGCCCATTCGCCCAATCTCCGCAGATTTGGTCGACAATGGCCGTCGGTTCGAATCCCGCGCCAAACAAAAGAAGAGATGGTTGGTCGAGTTCGCCTTCGTTCTTTCGTCTCTTTCGCTTTCTTTGGTTCGGTTGTGGAATGGTGCTGATCGCACTCAATGGGCCTTTATGAGGGCGAGAAGTGGTGCGTCGACGTTCACTCTCCGCTGATGCGCGCGTGCGACGAGCTGCTTGGCCTGTGGCCACTGCTCTGTCTGCACGCAGGCCCGGAGAAGGGTGTGCAGGGATGCCCGATCGAGCCAGAGGTTGTACTTCTTGTCGAAGGTGTCCGCCATCTCCAAGGCCTGCGAGAGACGATGCCGGTCGACCGGCACCTCCGTCGTCGCAAGCATGTCGCTCTTGTCCATTTCTTTGGCCGCTTGCGTGCGAGCGCTGTCGGACAGCCAAACACGGCCGTTGGTACGGTGTCAGACAATCACACGTGGTACAATGGAGGGGTACCTTTGGTTGTTCCCGACGAGTGTGTTTATGAAGAACGGGAGTGTCGTTGGGTTGAAGGGGATGCCCTTCTGCTCCATCTCTTGCAGGGTCGCAAGCGCCAGGTCTACTCGTCCATCTTGCGCTGCGCCCGTCAGCAGGCATTGGTAAGTGGTAGAGTTTGGCGCGATCCCCCTGCCCACCATGTCCTAGCAAGAGGGCAAAAATACATTTAGGGAATGGCCTCGCACTAGTCACTGAGCTTGTGAAGAAATCTGAGATGCGCCTTAGAGTTAACGCTCACTTACCTTGTGTATCTGGATGGCCTCCTCGAGCCGATTCTGTGTGGCGAGCGCGCGTATAAGGCCACCATAGGTCACAATATTCGGCGTCACCCTGTACACGCTTTCCATGTCTGCATTGCGTTGGTGGAACGTGAGCGGCCTAGAGCTTAGCTCCGAGGTTGGGATCGCGTGGTGGACATACCTTTGAACACTTTACGGGCTCGGTCCAGGTCTCCTGCAAGACCGCAGGCGTTGACCAATGACGAGAGCGCAATCAAGTCGGGCTTGAGCCTCGTGCGCGTACAGGCCAAATCGAATACACGTAGCGCGTCGTCGAGCTTGCCCGCTTTGGCACATTCGCGAATGACATGCGCGAGCAGTCTCGCGCTCGCGTTGTCCACCATCTCCGCGTGCTCCGTCACCATCTCCTCGAAGAATCGGGCGGCTAAATTGCGTAGAATGAGGGCCGAGAAATATATAAGCCACGCGCGTGAAGTGAAGGAGAGCGAAAGCCGTACCCAGTTCGGCCCTGTCACAGCCGGTGGTCAGTTCGATGAGAACGTTGAATGTGTGGAAGTCTGGAGGCAATCCTCGCGCCCTCATCTCTGCATAGGTGCTCAGACCGAGATCCTGCCAACAGATTCGTGAGCGCCAATCGTTGAGGAAAAGACAGACAGAGGAGGGGAGCACGGGAAGACGGCTAGGGCAAAGCGACGGCTCTCACGTACCAGTTTTTTGTTCTTGCTGCACGCGCCGATGAGACCGTTGTAGTTGGTGGTGTTGGGTATGATGCCTTGCTCGATCAGGCTTTTGAACAGCCTGAACGCAGCGTCCACGTTTCCGCCTCTGTTCCGGGTGGGCACTCAAAGCGTTAGGGTCCACTACTGGACAATGATAAACAAGTGGACTGGGTACTTGGAACAGGCCCCCAGCAGCGCGGACAAGGTCAGGCGATCCGGGACAACCTTGTGCTCCCTCATACGCTTGTAGACCATCAACGTCGCTTGCAGCTTCACATTCATTCAGAGCCGTGTCAGTTGGAGTTGCTTGCACGAGCATCCAAGAAAGAGAAAGAGCTGACCCAATCGGTCTCGTCTGGTCATTGAAAAGAACGTACGTCTCCTTTCTTGGCCAAGAACGAAATCAAGCGATTGTAGTTGATGAGCGGCGCTGGTCCCATCCGCGACAAGAGTGCCAAGCACCTCGGCAAAAGCTACACGCATTGACGGGTTAGGGTTAGCTCAGATCAGGGATTCATCATCACGTTTGCAGCCATGGGCGCGGGTGAGCTCGTGGGCGGAAGGATGGCGCGTACGTGTTTGCAGATGTCGTCCGACGTGCGGCAGGCTTGTTGGATGAGCATGGCAACCTGTGCGAAGGGAAGGCGGTACTGGGTGCTCATCTCCAGTTCGATCAGCTGCTCTGTCAGCCCGTCCGCGAACTGCGCGTCTGTAATCTTGCCCTTCTCCCACTGGACCGCAAGCACGTACGCAGCTGCGCACGCACAAGAAGGCACCACACGGTGAGGCACAGCCACAGCACCTCTATGCGGGGCTCCACCTCCTTCTGCACTATGGCGACGGGGCACGTACGCGAGCGTGGGTACCGCCGCGGCCGAGTCTCGGTATCCATAGCCTCCACCATGTCATCAGCTTCCTCTGCAGGCGCTGTTGCCTCAGGGCTCAACGCCGGCGCTTCTTCGGCGGCAGAGACCGTTGTGTAGGGGGCGGAGGCAGAAGATCGCGAGAAGGGGAGCAGGGGGCGAGCCCAAGCCGAGGGTGCGGATGATGATGATGATCGCATACTGCTCGAGCAGGCTACGGACCGCGAGCGGAAGCATGTGGGTAAAGGCGAAGCGGAACGAGCACAGATGGGAAGCAGGCGCCCAGCATCCCTTGCAGCGATTTTGCCACAGAGATTGGCCATGATTGGACGCAGATTTCGGATCGGGTGGAGATTGGGCGGAGATGAAGTATGATTCGACGATGTGAACGAACAGCAGCGTCAATCAAAGAAGAATCAGAGTCAAATTGTTCCTCGAGTGGCCGGAAATGAAGAGATGAATCGAGCGGCCAAAGTGGCGCTTCGTCTTCCTCGAACTTTGGGACTTTTGTACACCAAGCTTGTCAAGTGTCGACGTTCCCAGTACCTTTTTTTTCTAATTTTTGTAATTCATTTGATCCTGCCTGCATCATCAAAATGGCGGACTTCAATCTCGACGACATCTTGGAAAGTACGTAGTTCGTGCTTCATGCACCAGCTTGATCATGCACAAGCAACTTAGTGATGAGATTGGAGTCCAATCGGTGCCTGCACTGATGACGTGGTGCATTCGATTTACTTTTATACCTCGATCTGGCGTACCCACCCTTTACTTCGCCCTTCTTCATCCACAGGTGCTCTCGAAGATTTCGACCATCTCGAAGAGGAGGAGCGGAACCGTGCCACAGCCAATGCTGCCGCTGCGGCAGCCGCCGCCGCTGCCGGCCCGGCTACCGACTCCAGCACCGCCCCGTCCCCGCCACCCAGCGCAGAGCAGAAGGAGGGCGACGGCGAGGGTGAAGACGATGCAGACCTGGACAACCTGCCACCGGAGCTCATGGACGGGCTCAAGAAGCTGGTCGAGGAGCTGTCCATCAACAAGGAGGGCGGCGCGGGCGTGCCGGGCGACCTCGGCCTCGGCTCGGAGGAGATGATGAAGGAGGCGCTGGAGCAGCTCGAGGGCAGCCCCGAGTTCGCCTCCATCATGGAGAAGATGATGGGCTCGCTTCTCTCCAAGGAAGTCCTCTACGAACCCATCAAGCAGATGAAGGAGAAGGTTCTGCTCTACTCCTCTTGTCTTCTTGTGGACTCCTCTCTATAGTGTGGTGTGTGTGTGTGTGTGTGTGTGTGTGTGGTGGTGGTGGTGGTGGTGCGTGTGCGCGTGCGCGTGCGGTGGTGTGTGTTGCGTGCGTCGTGTTTGTGTTGTGCGTTAACACGGTGTGCTGACTTCTCCGTTGCAGTACCCGGCCTGGTTGGCCAACAACCGAGACAAGGTGTCGGCAGAAGAGTTCGCCAGGTGTGATGCCTTTGCCTCCCTCCCATTACGGCTGTTTGTTGTGTGGCGGTGTCGCGTCACCCGTTACGCTTACGCCTCGCACCTTCCAATGGCCTTCAGATATTCGAAGCAGTTCGAGTACGTCCAGCGTCTGTGCGTGCTCTACGAGAGCGACAGTACCATGGCTGAGATCATGAACGTCATGCAAGAGGCACGCACACGACCTACTCCGATGTGATAACCACAGCTATTATCGTTTCTCTCATCGCATGGTGTCAGCGAATCCTGTCCTCAAGCCAACTTTTCTTTCTGTGTATCGCAGATGCAAGAGCACGGCCAGCCACCGGAGGACATCGTGCAAGAGATGGCCCCAGGTCAGTCTTTGCCTCCTTTGCCTTTGGCACGCACGCACGCACGCACGCACGCACGCACGCACGCACGCACAGCACGCACGCACGCACAACTGCAGTCTGAACACTTACGCGCTTGCACGACCAACCACGTCTGTCTGTACAGGGTTCAACCTTGGTGCCGAGGGTGGACCGCAGATGCCGGAGCTGGAGGAGCTGCTCAAGGGCATGGAGGGTCTGCCTGATATGGGCGAGGGCAAGGACAAGTGCCTGCTCATGTAAAAGGCTACCACTACTACTCTCCCGCTTCTTCCCACTTCCTTCCTTCCCTTGCCTCTTCTTCCCCCTTTTTGTTTTGGCCGCCTTTGTAACCTTCACTGCACAAGTGGTTCCTTGGCCATGCGTTCGCGCAATGTGCGTTTTCATGTGTGTGTGTCGTGGTGTGTGCGTGTCTCACGAGCGCGGATCCCCGGTGCAATCAGAGGCAAGACTCTCCACTCCGCAGGTGGGATCTGGTCAAAAGATACCTGTTGGCGAAGCCTCACCAAGAGTGACTATGCAGCTTAGCTGCAACTAGAAGAAATGCGAATTTGCTCTCAGAAGGAGAAACAGGAACTCAGAGTCCGGGTGCTCGGATTCAAAAGTGAGGAATACAGCTGGCAGGTTGTAGTTGGGGGGGGCTTGACCTCGAGGTGAGGACCAATAAGGAGCGTTCGGAGTTGAATCCGCAGAAGCCGTGTAGTGAGTGGGCCAATGGGGTGAGCACATGGCGGATAACCGAACAGTTGCGCCAATCCGCAGCGTCTGGAGGTTGCAGGAAAACAGGATATCCGCGAACACTACGGCGGCTGCCGTCTGGCCTTCATCACTTCACGTTCCACCTGTGTCCCGCCGA